TCTGAACTTTAAGGTTGAAGCCAGACAAAAGTTAAAAGGAATAGTTGGGCGCATACAAGTTCCTGGGGAGAAAACACCGTTCAAGCCACATGTAGTTAGAATACACCCAACTGATTAGAGAAAAATACACAGACCTAGTAGGGTAAAAAAAGAAATTCATAATGTAAAAAAGTACTCATAATAGCTATGGTAATTTTTGAATTTTCTCCATGCTTCTGGTTTAGTTACTTTATAACATTAGAAAAGCTGCACTGTATTAGTTGAACAAAGTCAAATGTTTTCACCAAGAGTATGGCTCTCACAAGAAAAAAGAAAATCTGACAGTTAGCAGGGACACCTAATTGGATTTTTAATTTATAAGTGTAAGAACTTGTATTATTCCAAAGAAAGAAGCTGTATCTGAGAAATACATAAGCTATAATGGCCGCAAAAAGCAGCAGTTATCAAAGAATAGAAGGCTCAGCAGTGTTTGCTGAAAGAACATTCTTTAGCACACCCTAGAAATAATTATCTTTGCTTCAAGATTAACCTGTGTTTCTACAGCTTTCTGAAATTCAATCTGGGAAGGCACTTAAGAAGAGAAAAAGGGTTGCTACTGTGACTGGACTGTGATTTCTGCTTTGGTGAGATAGTAACCATGAAAATAAACTATGCATTAGGGTCTCACAATCATTTTTATTCATTGCTGACCACACTTGTAAATGAATACTTTGAGGTATACATTACCATATTTACTTATACTTTTGTAGTTTGTTTATAGACAGTATTTAATTAAAGCTATTACAACACTGATCTCAAAATCTAACAGGACAAAGAGAAAATTGCTTGATATGTTTATCAGTTTAATAATTAATCTCCCAATAAATTATGACATTCTGCATGTTTCTTCTAATTCCACTTCTGATATATCTACTAATTTTTAGACTAAAAGATAGAAATTATGAATGAAAAACATGTGATGTGTCTCCTAAAACCAAAATAAAGAATGAATTGAAACCAAATAATGTGATGTGTGTGAAAGGACAGGTCCAGTGGTGTTGTAGTGATGTATCCGTATCAGTTAACAGTCTTCCAGCTCCTAGTGAGAGAAAACTCAATTCAAATTGGCTAAGGGAAACCAATCCTCATATCCCTAAAATCTGTTTTTGCAGTCCGCTTCTGGTACCAATGTTTGTATGCATCAGAATAATCAAAGCTGACTCTAGCTACAACAGGAAAAAAGTTTTTGGAAGGATATTAAGTAGCTCATACAACTTGATGAAACCTGAAGAAACAGGTTCTAGAAAGAGCAGAATCTAGAGCAGAATGAGAGTTCTAGATGTTCAGTACCAAATAATTGTTGCTTAGAGTTGCCGTTAGTGGAAAGTTTTACCTAACCTTGCATTGCTCTGCTCAAAATGCGAAGTACCAGGAGAGAGCTCAAGCCATTTGACTGAAACTTGGCTCTGCAAAGAAAATCAGATTTCTATTACCAAAAGCAGGGGAAAGGACATGAATCAACCAAAACACAATATTTTTATTACAAATTGTTCGGCTTCAAATCCTATTGTGCTAGCTTATGCAAAAACTGAAAATAGTTGGAAAGGCATTAAAAGTGTGTCTTCCCGGGGCAGAACCCAGCAGCCAAGAACTGGAAGCCTGTCAGGAAGCTGGACAGTTCTCATCCTCCATCTCCCATCTCTCTTTCTTTCTGGGTCCCTGTCCCTTTCTGCATGTTTGTTCATTATTCTCTCTTTTCAGATGAAATTTCATTTCTTTTTTTTTTTTTCATCCACACAGCAGAAGATAGCCACTTTACAGTTTCTAAGTTTATATGTATTTTTTAAAGAAACAGCTTGGACTGAGCAAAAATCACTCAGGTCCAATTGCAAATTTCTGGTAGAGAGAATCTTTTTAGCCCACCTTAGGCCAGATGTCCACCTCAGTCTCATCAGTTATGAATAGAGGGTTTGGTGAATGTTGTAGTAGAAACATGGCTCAGAGAACACACTTTGCTGGGCAAACATAGGTTTTGGAGTAGGAACCAGACACGTACCACAATAAATGACTTCTACAAGTAAATGAATCAGGAAATAATAATCATATTCTCTACCTTGGTAACAAATTTACTATCTTCAAAGCACTTTGGCACCTATAATTTTACAGCAACACTAAAATGTAGGTAAGATACCCAGATACTACAAATATTGGGAGCTGAGGTAAACTCTCTAATCCTTAGTTTTATCATCTGTAAAATGGGGATAACTATACAACAGACCTCAATACTGTTGAAAGAATTCAGTGAGATAATCTATTAAAAAAATTCTTAGCATCATGCCCAGCTTATGGCAAATGCTCAATACATGTCAACTGAAAACGGCTACTAAAATACGATCATTCTTAAATGTCATACAGTGTTAGAGCCTAAAGAGAGGAGGAAGAAATCGTTTTTAGCCTCTCAATTTCTTTCAAAGTTTCACTGAGCACAAGTATTTTAGCCATAATTTCCACTTCTGTTTCTCCAGCTTCACTCCTAAAAATCTTAGTACGTCTCTTTAGACAATCTAGATTTTGTCTTCCCATTTTTTGCATGTTATGTCGAGTGTCTGTCAATTTCTCTTTCTGTCGTCCCCAAGTCTGAGCTTGAATCAAATTCTTACCCCAATTTCAGTTGCAACAAAATGGCAAAAAGGAGTTCAAGGGCCCGAGTGCCCCTAAAATGTGCCAGCCAAGAGATCTGTGATGCTGGACTAAAAAAATGAGTACTCCTTAAATATGCCCATTGAAATGCCTTGTTTACCTTCTTACTTTTAAGTAGCATTTCCTTGATGTATAAGTTTTTCTTCAGCATCCCTTTTTTAAAAACCTAATAGTAACAGGGAAAAGAGAGAGATCAATAGATAGGAAATAGCTAAAATTACATCCCTGGACAGAGCCATGCCTGAAAAGATCCCTTCATAATTTTTCCTCCTCTTCCCTCCCTTCCCCTCCCCTCCCCTCCCTTTTCCTCCCTTCCCCTCCCCTCCTGTCCTCTCCTCTCTCCTCTCTTCTCCTCTCCTCTCCTTTTCTTTCTTCCTTTTCTTTCATTTCCTTTTTTCTTTTTTTTTGAGACAGGGTTTTGCTGTATCACCCAGGCGGGAGGTACAGTGGTGCAATCATAGCTCACTATAGCCTGGAACTCTTGGGCTCAACAGATACTGCTGCCTCAGCCTTCCAAGTACCCCTTCTGAGTACCTGGGACTACAGGCATGTGCTGCCATGCCCAGCTAATTTTTTTTTTTTTAAAGAGACAAGATCTTGCTATGTTTCCCAGGCTCTTCGATAATTTTTTTATACTCATATATTGACATACACTTATAAAGGTACAATTTAATCAAGATCCCCCTTTTAATGGAAAATATTCTGGTTACCACACACATGGTAAAATGGTCCTGTATGCAAATTACAGTTTTGTCAGTAGTTAACTGATTTATTTTGTTCGAGCAACGATTACACCTTATTTATGTTTTGTATCTCCCTCAGCAGGTAGCCTAGAGCATGGCACAAAATAGGTTCTCAATTAGTGTAAAAAAGAAGGAAAGAGGATGCAAGAGGAGAGAAGGAAGAAGGAGGGAGGTCTGGATAAACCAGTCTTTAATTAGATCAGTTGGGGTTCTAGATACTTGATTTTGGCTATTGTCTCAAGAACGTGTTCTCATTGTTTATGCCTCAGTTCAATTATACTGAAGCAAAGAAAAAGAAAAAGTCTGCAAAATACAATTCACGGAAATATTTTAGAAAATGATTCAGAACATAGTTTACCTTTAGTAAGTATTTGCTAATGTGTTCAGCACTGTCTAGCTACTTTACACATACCCTCTTTAATCCTCCCACCTATCTTCCAAGAAAGGAATCCTTGTCTCCATTCCATACAAGAAACAAAACAAAAACAAAAACGAAGTCTACAGAATAAATGCCTTGTCCCAGGTAGCAGGTCAAGAAACTACAGTCCCCAGGGCACTTTGATTTCAAAGCCTATAGAGATTACTCCGAGACTAAGATTCCATTCATGTGCTGCTAAAATATTGAAATATTTTGATAGTCTCAGCTCCAAGTCTCTAAGGCCCAGCTTCTTGACTACACCAGTGTCCCCTCTGTCACCACTACTCACAAGCCACTATGGATCATCTCACTGTCCAGAAACCAAGGGATAAATTTTGATCCAGCAAAGGACTTCCAGCACCCTACTCCAGGACGGTGGCCACTGTCCAAGTCCATTTTGATTGGTCAGCATCGTACTAGGGGGTGGTGACTAAATATACTTTAATGTTATCACAGCTTTGCATTATACTACTGTTACCTGTCTCCATTAGGGGGGTTATTAAAACAGACTGCCTGTGGTTAATTCCCAAGTCAATCAGCCAGCCTTGGAAAAGGCTACAGAACAAGCCATGGACTGAGGACTTCTGTTTGGGCCTCAAGCAACAGCAAACAGTTCTGCTTCCATCAAACCTTAGGCCCTGGGGAAGCAACACCCAGTCCTCTGACTCACCGACACCCTCCTGGAGAGTAGGAGGAATTTCCATAGGAAAGTTTCACATCCAGTTCTTATGAAAATATTTTGTATTTCTCTGAAACCTGCACTTTGTTCATAGTCTGGTTTCAGCATTCACTTATCCCTGTGAGAGGCACAGAAAGTGCAATTTCTCAAACAGTCAACCTCTCAATATGCTATCATGAATATGTTTATTTGCACATCACCTGTACCATTGCTTATCCTATATTTTTAATTGACTCACTTTCTTTATATGATTGCAATAAATGGAAAAGCAAAAGCAGTATCTCTAACCATAAAGAGAAGAAAGCCTTATAAATGAAAGCACCATTATTAAAGTGAAAATTCTCAGCCCCATGCCATCTGGAAATATCTTACACACCATGAAGGGTACTTTATTTGGAGAATAAATGATACCTTAAGTAAGGGTTCCAGTTGTGGAGCCAGAACAGGGTTTGGATCCCAGATCTACTACTCAGCAAGCCACATGCCCTTAGACAAGATTTCCACATCTTTAATATGGGTATGACAATAGCAACTTTTTCTTAGACTGATTCTTAGACCAAGGGAATTGATACACAGAAAGCCCTTTATGTAGTGCCTGACATGTAGTGCATCTAATAAAGGTCAAATATTCTAAATGAAATACCAGTTCCAAATGGAAAACTTGGAAGAGGACTCAACTTTAAAGTGAAAAGTGATCTTTTGTATTGTGAAGGAATTTCCAAAATGGAAATTTTTCTTGGGTTTTTGTCTAGTCTATCAATTCATTGGCTTTGATTCTCCTTCAGGTCTTTGGATTCTTGAACTTTATTCTCTGGGCTGGAAACATATGGTTTGTTTTCAAGGAGACCGGCTGGCATTCTTCGGGACAGAGATATCTTTCAGATCCGATGGAGAAGCACTCCAGCAGCTATAATCAAGGTGGTTACAACCAAGACAGCTATGGGTCAAGCAGTGGGTACAGTCAGCAGGCGAGTTTGGGGCCATCCTCAGATGAGTTTGGCCAACAGCCTACTGGCCCCACTTCCTTTACCAATCAGATTTAACAGAGTAGCATTTGCATTCTTCCAGAGATCACCTCACCACCTTCCATTTCAGTGGCAGAAGAATTTTTTAAGAGTTTCAATCAATTATTAATGCAGAGAGTATTGAATGTAAATCAGAGATCTCTAGTCTTCATTAAGGCAGAAAGTCCTGGGTTGTGATAAATGACACTTAGAGATGAGATGACATGAGGAGATATATTATTCTTCATAGATTGCTAATTGGAGAGTACCTTGTTATATATACAGATACTTTCATGGTCATTTTGTATGTGTGTTAAAGTAGTAGAAGTATTTTGTAGCTTAAAGTCTCTAGTATGTAATATGCATAAAGTAAATCGAATAGCACTGAGTTTTCTTATGCATTTTGATGTGAAAGATGTTATAATAATTTCTAGAAGACAATTTGGTGTATCACAACATGCATGTCTTATTTTTTTTTAGTTTTAGGTCTTATAGGACAATGAGTCTCTAAGTTATTTGTTTCAGAAAATTATTCTGTTTTTTTATGTGATAAATCAATGCTCACATGATTTAAGTGCATGAATAAGCATTTTCTCACAAAATGAACATTTGAACTGTGTTTATGAAAATTTTCTGGTTTGCACCATGAATTTGTCAAGTGGATATTTATAGGAATATATTCACTACCTTGTATACTTTGCAGATTTGTCTCTCTGGCTTTACCCAAGTTCTGAATGCATTGTAATTAAGATTTGAGTTTTTCTTTTCCCCTATTGTTAGACATTTAGTGTTACATATGATAACTGCCCAACATTTATTCTATTTACTTAGCTAAATATTTGCATTCTTGTAACCTTCTATGGTGTTTTTGTGGCTCTTATCTTGTGGACCATAAATAACATGGCCCAATAATTCTTTGTGTTTATGGAGTGTTGTTTTCTTAGAATAATGGAGATGCAGATATAGATACCATAGTCAAGATATGCCTTGCTGAAGTATTTATTTATAAAGAATATTCTGTAGAACCTCTACTACCAGCTACACTTTTAAATCCTGTTTATTTGTAAAGCTAATATGTTCCTCAATGTAATTATTAAAAATTCTGAAGTCACAGCTAAACTTACTAATTCTGATTTGAGTGTAGCCCATAAATTAAAAATGGCTTCCATATGCCACTCTGTATTCCAAAGAGAGTTCTCATGAAATATTCTCCAGAATGTATTCATTATAAAGAAAATGCCAATCTTCACTTCCTCATTTTAACTCAGTTGAAACACCAGGACCCAATAGAGAAGGCAAGCTGAGCATCTGTATTTCCAGATAAAAGTTGTTATTGATGTATAAACTCGTCGTGTGATTGGTGATGTTGGAAGCATTTTAGCACAAAACAGCCTTGTGTCTTAGATGATATCTGTAACCAGTTTCTGAATCCCGTTGGATAAAACCATATTGTGATATCTATTTGACGTTAATAAAGTTATTGCATACAATGCTGGCTGGACAATGGACAATTACAACAGTAGAACCCGGTTGGCTTTAACAATGACAGAACGAACAAGGGTTAAATGCACAGTGCCTCCAATCTGTCACCCTGTCCTTGTTTCATGAGCCCAGTGAGGTTCGTTCATTCATTCCACCATTCTAGGACTTCCTGTGCACCCGTCACTGTGCATGCCACTGGGAATGCAGTAATAAAAAGCAAAAACAGGCTGTATGTTAAGAAGCTTACACTCTATTAGGAGAGACGGGCATTAAAATAATCACACCCCTGGCGGGCACCTATAGTCCTAGCTACTTGGGAGGCTGAGGCAAGAGAATGGCGTAAACCCAGGAGGCGGAGCTTGCAGTGAGCTGAGATCCGGCCACTGCACTCCAGCCTGGGTGACAGAGCGAGACTCCGTCT